GTAGTTGTATATAGCGGGACTTTTTCTGAGCTTGGGTGCACTGGAAACTCCTTGTATTTCACCGCAGCAGTCCGCATTGAACGAGCAAAGTGAGTTTTAGACATGTGTGCTGCCATTTCAACATCCTCAAACAAATCAGGATGAGTACCACCTACAGTATTTCCCAGAGGGCCTTTCCACAAGACGATGTCTCCAATCACTCTGACCCTTTGAGGGGCAAGTCTTCCCTCACGGTGACTGATCAGTAACTCAACTTCTTTAGGTCTTTTCAGTTCTTCAAGCTCCACTTCTGGGAAGAAGGTTTGAAGTTTTCTTGGTTCAATTTCTTTATGGACTTTGGCAATTTCATCCAGCCCATAACAAATCAGTTCCTGTGCGCTTACCTGCATTAGCTGGCAGCTCGGACAGTCCATGCTTTTTAAGTAGGTGAGATGGAGCTTTGATCGAGTTACCTGCTTGTGTATTTCCATTTGTGAATGCCTTCCTGCACCTCTCTGCCATTTCTGGAGACAATTCAGACAATAATTTTTCTTGGTCAGCTGTCAGTTTGGTCTTACTTGGACTGCTTTTTTTGTAAGGCCTCATCATCCACTTTGGTGTTTTTGGGGCAGAGGATGTAGTGGTAGTCAGCTGAGCCTCCCTTTTTGCACTCTTTATTCTTGCAGAAGTATGCATCTTTACAGCTTTCCCCATCAGAATGCCAGCAGAGACATTTCATGTATGACCCTAGTCTCTTTAAAGTGGCTTTCTTCTCTGGAACAGTCAGAGCCTTAAACTTTCTACAGAAGAAAAGTTTATTATAATGTCTCTCTTTTCCACACACACCACACACATTTTCAGGCTCACTTTTTGTGTTTTTTGTGGAGGCAAACCTCTTGTCTGGTCTCTTGACTGGGTAATGATCTGGCTTGTCAGCTATCTTCAGTTGCTCCAGCCTTTCCAGTATGCCTTCCTGCTTTTGTAGGAAGTTTAGAAGCATGTCAAAATGTTTGTCCGTTGATACATTGCTACTCTGATCCATCATGAAGATGAGCCAGTCCCTCTTCACAAAGTCTGGAAGTTTGCCTTCTATTGTTTTTATCATTAGTGGGTTTTTAAGTGCACCAATGTTTCCTAGGTCAGTGAGATCTGTCGGTGCCTTTTCCACCACCTGGATCAAGTCATTTACTTTTCTTGGTTGGTTTCCTTTCATAGGTGGTAATTTCTCCAAATCTTCTAAGATTTCTATTGCTATTAGAGATTTATTCCCATACCTGTTTGAGAGTACTCCGAATATATATGAGTTGTAAGTTGACAGTCTTAGCTCTTTTGCTAGTTTTCCATCAATGCTGTTCAGAAGTTGTATTTTCTTTACCTCCATCGATCCAGTTGGCTCTCCTTGCTTGTGCAAGCTTTCCCACTCCTTCTTCCATCTATAATATTCTCGTTTATCACCAGTGAAAATGGGAAGAGATGTTGGTTTTATTCTCACAGTTGGGTTAGCAACAGCAGGTGTCAGTAATGGTGCTCCACTCCTCCCAGTAGTGGCTTCTGTGACCCAACATGTGACAAATTCTGCCTTTCTTAGTTCAAGTTTATTTTTCATTGATTTTAAGTTTTTTACTCTTGTATCAAAAGTTCTTCTCTCTTCTAAAGGGATCCATCGCTCCCAGACTAGCATGGTTTCAGTTGCTTGCTTTACACTTTTTTTTTCCCCCAAAAGATTCTTGTGGACCTCAAAGCCTTCAACATTTATACTCAAGACAGGCAAGTCGATTGCTATTTGTCCACTTTCTTCAGCCTCCAGGACAGCTGTTAACACTTCCTGCTGGCCATATCTGGACCACAAGTTATCTTGAACAGTCTCTCTTATGAGTTTAAACTTTTCTTCGGCCTCTCTTGCCATTTTATCAATCTCCTCTTACTGTTCAAGATATGGTTCCTCATCTTTTGTTATGTCTGCCAGTGATAATAGTCCTGACATATAATTGTCATTTTTTTGTAATAGTTCTTTGAGACATTCAGATAGTTTCTTAAATTCTTCTTTTAGTTCTCCATGAACCATTATATTTGCATCTCTCATGACAATGTTGGCTTGACGAGTGAAAAAGCTCTTGGCAATAGTCTGCTCCTTCTTGAGCTGTTTGACTTCTTTTGCCATTCTGTCCTTGCGTCCATAGCACCTGGATTTGCAAAACTGTTTATCTTTACTCCTTGCTGTTCGCTCGGTTTTCAACTGTCAAGTCTTTTTCCCAACCAGTGCTGATCCAAATAACAAATGACAAATAATTTCCCTTTGGGATTAATAAAAGTATTTTTGAATTGAATTGATCCGACTTGAAAGATCCAGGAAGAAAGTAGATGTAGGCTCAACTCACTTCATCATTTTTATTACTTATTCTCAAAGATGGTTCTGCAGCAGTAGCAGCAGCGCCAGTAGAATCAGAACCAGTAGAATCAATAGGTTGAAAACCTTGGGAGAAATGCAGATTAATAGTTTAGTTTTAAATGTTTTTTTCAATTACTTAAATTATATAAATTCATAAATGTTTTAAACTGTGTAAATATATATTCTGACAAACTAGGAAGTAACTATTTTAAAACATTTAACCATTTATTATATTTATGAATTTCAAATATATTTGATATTTCTTCTAAATTTTCCAATAAATGTTACTGTACTCTTTTATTTTTCTCTTATTTTAATTGTATCTTACCTATTTACAACAAATAAATAATTACAAACAATTAATTTTAGCCATCAAAAGATGTATTTTCTTCAAAACTAATCACTATGAATTGTATGCAAGTAATTCAAGGATCAGAGAAATCAAAATAATATTTGACTTGCATGATTCATTGCTAAGATTACAAAATAATATGCTTTAATCAAATTCATAATATGTTTATAATATATATATATAATCCTATATCCCATAATATATAATAACAAGTTTGCTTCTAGGCTCAAAAAACTGTTTGACAGGTTTATTGAGGCTGCTACTCACCGGTGCGTGTCTACTCTCCTTCATGCACTGATTGTCACAAAGGACCACACACCTGCATTATGAACCTAATCAGAATCACAGAAGCTACAGCATAGTTTAGGCTAGAGCTCCTCCTCTGTCTAAACTATGTAAGCTAAGAGAAACTAATGTTTAAAAGAAAATTAGTTAAAATGAAGTGCAAATAAAAAGTCAAAACTGTCATTTGACACAACAGTGCTTTTAGATCAAATTTATACACTGATGGGACACACATCGGAGACAATGAGGGGTTCAGTGTCTTGCCCAGGGACACTTCGGCATGTTACTGCTAGTGGATTCAAACCCCCAACTCTTGCATTGGAGGACGACTGCTCTAACCACTCAGCCTCAGCTGCCTACTCAGCCACAGCTGCCCTGGTACAGAACAGTCAGCTAACGCTTCACAATGGCAAAAAAAGTGTTGTATTTTCATCAACTTATCAGAGAAGACACTTCTGAAACAACGGAAATGAAATATGTTCAATGCTGGAACTGCTGCTGTTTGGAGCTATTTGGAAATATTTGCGGCTGCATGACCCACATGACTTACGCATTCCATTCTTTCTATAGAAGTCTATGATAGTGTCACAACTCTCTCTCTCTATATGGCTCTGGTTATAACCATGAGTCAGACAGCGAGCTTCATGAAGACTTGTGATGATCATGCCATCTGAGCATGTGTTGAAAGCAAGCTATAGTCTGTGAAACGCCATCTGGTGGCTGATTCTTTTACTACAACAAGAAAGCTGCACACTGACGGAGCTTGCTGGGCACAGTTCTTGAATATGAAACGGTGAATGCCTGTGGCTAAATGACCGGAGCGCCTTATTTATGTAAAAAATTATGATTTACCTTATATTTAATTTGTGCAGCTTAGAGACAGGTGTGTTCTGTAGTCGGAGAATTATGGTAGTCTGTTTTTACTTTTTTTTTTTAGCCTACAAGTTTGTTTTTTATGTGTTGGATCATGTACATTAGTGTGCAGTAACCATGAATTATATAGGTTCTTGTCATGAACATGTGGTGTTCACTCTGTGTCACAACAACCCACCCTCTAGAAGGGTGTGTCTTGGGCAGCTATACAAGCGCCCAGGTGTGCCAAAATAAAGTTTTTCAACGGCAGGAAGCTTGTTAGACTGTCAAAATAAAATTTAAAAAATGCAAAAATAAAAAATCCATAAATTATGTGACAAAGATGTGACGATGCTACCGGTAAATGTGTTTGGTGGCAGAAAGCTCGTTAGCCCATGGAAATAAATATATATATATATATATATATATATATATATATATATATATATAATTTTTTTTTTTTTTTTTTTTAAGTTAAGGGCAGCTGTGGCCAAGTGGTTAGAGCAGTCATCTTTCAATGCAAGAGTTGGGGGTTCGATTTCACCTGCAGTCACATGCTGAAGTATCCCTGCTTAAGACACTGAACCCCTCATTGCCTCCGATGTGTGTCCTATTGGTGTATGAATGTTATAAAACACTGATTATTCTTTGGACAGATATAGTAGTGCTGTATGAATGGGAAATGAGGGTGCAGATTGTGGTGTAAAGCTCTTTAAGTATCTTGATCAAATAGAATGGTGCTATATACTGTAAATACAATCCATTTACCATTTACCAAGTTACAGTAAATATTATTTAAAAAATACATAAATTAGCCATTGTATAAGTCAAATTGTCCAAAGTATGTGAAAAATCTATCAACTTATATACCAGAAATTATGGTACCCCTGTTCTCCACAGTGCAACTCCTACCCACTTGAATTACTTGCATCAAAAACACCAAGGCTTACTTACATTCCCTGTTCTATTCCAGTCCAGAAAAACACTAATCTTAAAAAATACAAACATTCAATATTCAAATTCTTCATCTGGGTCATTGGTTGTAAGTAAATTTGTTCTGGTGTCTAACAGTATTTTGAATCGTTTTCTGTTTCCTCAAGTCAGTCATTTTTCTTTGTTTTTATCCTTGTCATGTTCATCCAGATGATGAGTTTGCATTGCAACAGGCCACAGCGGGGGCTGTAGAAGCAAACTCTGGTGACAGAACACCTCCAACCAAACATAAAGGCAAGTTGTCCAAAATGGGAAAATTCTTCAAGAAGCCCTGGAAATGGAAGAAGAAGAAGCCAAGTGACAAGTTCACAGAAACTTCTAAAGGTATGTTTGCTACAATTTTTTTATACATGTTGTGTGTATAACATTTTGCTTGATTTACATTAATCTTTTCCAGTTTTGGAAAGAAAGATTTCTGTTAGGAAATCTCGCCAAGAGCTTATTGATAAAGGGGTTTTAAAGGAAATCCCTGAAAATGGTAGGTAGAGCTGCTTTGTTTATTAATCTTTAAGAATTATTCTAGTTCTTCATTGTAATGACTCATGTCTTGTTTTCCTCTCTACATGAATAGAAAGCACAGACGTGAACCATTCCAAAGCTCCACCAGTAAAAAATGGACACCCTGTATTGATGGACATGGACAGAATGTCTCAGAGAGAGACTGACATTAAGGAGAGTTTTAACAAGGGGCCTCAGGGAGATGAACGACAAAGTAGAGCGCCATCAGATGCTTCTCGAACTAGCAGAGCACCTCTGGATGTGGACTATCATGCAGGGCTCTCTGTGGATGTGGACAGGCGAAGTCGTCTTTCATCAGAAGCTGAGAAGAAAGGCGAATCTTTACCACGAGGACTGCCACCAGATGATAAATACCGTAGAGATGAAAGGAGAGAAGTCAGAGAGAAAAGAGATGAACGGGCAGACAGAGACATGCGAGAGAGGAGGGATCGGGATGAGAGAGAAAGGAGGGATCGGGATGAGAGAGAAAGGAGGGATCGGGATGAGAGAGAAAGGAGGGATCGAGAGGAGAGGGAGAGGAGGGATCGAGATGAAAGAAACAGGAGAGATTGGGATGAGAGAGAAAGGAAGGATCGGGATGAGCGGGAGAGAAAAGATCGGGATGAGCGGAAGAGGAGGGATTGGGATGAAAGGGAGAAGAGAGATAGAGACAAGAGGGATCGAGATGAGAGGGAAAAGGTTCAAGATGAGAGGGAAAGGAGGGATCGAGGTCGGGATGATAGAGAACGAAGAGATCGTGAGGAGAGCGAAAAGAGGGATCGAGATCGGGATGAAAAAGAACGAAGGGATCGAGATGAGAAGGAGAGAAGGGATCGGGAGGAGAAAGAAAAGAAAGATGAAAGAGAACGAAGGGCTCAGGATGAGAAGGAGAGGAAAGATCAGGATGAGAAAGAAAAAAAGGATCGAGATGAAAAAGAACGGAGGGATCGAGACGAAAGAGAAAGAAGAGATAGAGTTGAGAGGGAAAAGAGGGATCAGGAGGAGAGGGAAAAGAGGGCTCGGGAGGAGAGGGAAATGGTGGATCGAGACGAAAGAGAACGAAGGGTTCAGGATGAGAAGGAGAGAAAAGATTGGGATGAGAGGGAAAGGAAAGATCGAGATGAAAAAGAACAAAGGGATCACAACGAAAGAGAACTACGAGATCGTGTTGAGAGAGAAAGAAGGGATCGAGATGAGCGAGAGAAGGCGGATGAAAGAGAATATGAAAAGAGGGGGCGACCAGTGCCACAGCGGTCTTGGGATGACTCCTATGCTAAAGCTAGGACCAGCCAGGACCTTCCTGAAATAAACCTGCAGCCTCATCTACAGAGGAGTTCCTCAGCTGAAGTCCGAAGGACCACACTGCCCAGATACGACAAACCTGTAGAATTCCGAAGTCGCATAGGTAAGATATCTCTTGATAAAATAGTTAATGTTGCCCTCTGACATTTATCATTTGTCGGGTTCTCTAAACCCTTTTCTTTTCCTACACAATTAGGGTTACTCATTTTTAGTCCAGTCCTTGTAGCTGAACCTTCCTATAGGAATGTTTCTGTTTCTTTGGTAAGATAACATGCATAAGCATAAAAAGACCCTCAACTACCTTTTCAAAACTTTTCCAAAGATCTATGGAAAGATCAGTTAGGTCAGCGAAGCATTAATTTTACAAAAAAAAGACCGTTTTACTTGTAAGTGAAACAAACTTGGGCTACCTTTATTAGGCCCTAGAGCAGATGTGGGCAACATAGGGCCAGAGGGCCAAAGGTGGCCCATGAACAATCTCCATCTGGCCCCAAATATTAATTAAAAAGAAAACAATTTTTAAATAAGCTGATGAAAACCTGTTTTTTTTCCCCCAATGAAACTTGGGTCTAAATTAAACATCTTGGATAAATACATTGAAAATACTCTATTTGGTTAGGCTAAAAGTTGTTTAAGTCATTACCAGAACTAGACTGAACATTAATAACTCCAAAAGCAAGCATAGAACTTTTATTTTGCATATTTACGCTATCACATGTTCTCACAAGAGACAGTTTATATAAAATGTATTTTATAATCCTAAAGAATATTGAAGGGACCTATTTTTGAATTAAAAAATGCTAACTGTTAAAAAAAAAAAAAATCCTAGAAAAGTCTTCCAGAGTATCTTAAATAATAGTTAGTTCTTAAATAATTTTATTATTCATTCATTCATATGCAGACCGATGATAGCTTTAATATCTCGAGTTGGCTCTCTGGGAGAAGAAAAAAAAGCGATATTGCCCACTCTTGCCCTTGAAAGAGATTTCGTTGGAGGTTTTGTTGATTTGAACTGTTAAGCTGTCTTTCTGTTTGAAATGGTCAATATTTTGGAAATTTGGGTTATTTTTCCATTTAATTTCTTAAATATTATGATCTGACATGTTTAAGAGAAGCAATATACATTATATATGCATAAGGGCGGCTGTGGCTGAGTGGTTAGAGCAGTCATCCTCCAATGCAAGAGTTGGGGTTTCGACTTCACCAGCTGTCACATGCCAAAGTGTTCCTGGGCAAGACACTGAACCCCTCATTGCCTCCGATGTGTGTCCCATCGGTGTATGAATGTGATAAAACACTGATTAGTCTCTTTAGAATGATTTGTTCGATTAGCTTTGTAGAGATCTAGTAGAGTGCTGTATGAATGGGTAAATGAGGGCACAGATTTTAGTGTTTTTTTTCATTCAACCTTTATTTAGACAAATAAGTCACATTGAGCCTAGAAGACTCATTTACAAGTGAGATCTGTTTAGACAGACAAAAACTAATGAAACTGGACACATGTAGGAATTGGAGGCAAAAAAATTCCATCAGACTTTTTCTTCTTGCCTGAGAAGAAAAACTGTAATATTAAAAAACACATTGCACAAGCAAGCACATAGTGACGTAGACATTCTTTGGTGGTGGTGGTGGTGGTGGGGGGGGAGCGGTGAGACGACGAGAATGGTGAGCAATGTTCATAGACACTCTCGAGGGCACTGTAAGAATTATGATAAGGATGGAATAATCAGCCAGTGTCTTCCGGTGAGATCTATAAAGTCAAGTCAACTTTATTTATAGAGCACATTTAAAACAGAACCTGTTATCAAAGTGCTTAACAACAACAATCAATGATAGTAAAATTAAAGAGAAAAAAATATATATACAATACACTAATAATAATAACTGAAGAATTAATAAAAAGGGTTCAACTGTCCCCCTCTTACAATGCTGTGGATGCTGAAGCAGGGATTTGAAGTGAGGTGGCCTGCCTGTTGTTGGGGGGCAGGTTGTTCCAGAGTTTGGGGCCCATGACTGAAAAAGCCTGATCTCCTCTGAGCTTCAGTCTTGTTTTTGGAACAGCCAAAAGCAGCTGATCAGATGATCTCAGGGCCCGAGAGGGAATGTAAGGTTCCAGAAGCTCAGAGAGGTAAAGGGGTGCGAGGCCATTTAAGCATTTGAAGGTCAACAGAAAATTTTTAAAGACTATCCTTGTACGAACAGGGAGCCAGTTAAGGAAGGACAGAACTGGGGTAATATGTTCAGACCTACGAGTTCCGGTTAAAAGCTGAGCAGCAGCATTCTGGACGAGCTGAAGACGTGAAATGGAGGCCTGGCTTATCCCAGCATAGAGTGCATTGTAGTAGTCCAATCGGGTTGTGACAAAGGCGTGGACTAGTTTCTCAAGGTCGGGTCTGGACAATACTGGCTTGAGCTTAGGTACCTGTCTGAGTTGGAAGAAGCTTTTCTGCAGAACAGAGTTGATTTGTTTGTCAAACTTGAAGTCAGAGTCTAAAACCATCCCAAGATTTTTACCAGACTGCTTAAGATATGGCTGAAGAGAGTCCAGGTTGACAGGATCAGTGGCGGCAGTTGAGCTAGGGCTAAAGACAATGACTTCAGTCTTCTCATTGTTAAAACTTAAGAAATTTGATGCCATCCAGGCCTTAATGTCGTCCAGACATTTTAACAGAGAGTGAATGGAGCAAACACTTGCTGGTTTCACAGGCAGGTAGATCTGGCAGTCTTCAGCATAGCAATGGAATGAAAGACCATGTTTCCTCAGGATGGACCCCAGTGGGAGCAAATAAAGTGAGAACAGAAGGGGTCCAAGAATCGAACCGTGTGGGACCCCGCAAGAAAAAGGTAATGAGACAGATACATTATTACCAACTTTGACACAGAAACTCCTGCCACTCAGGTATGAGCAGAACCATTCTAATGCAGCACCTGTGATCCCAACCCACTGTTCCAGCTGTGATATAAGGATACTGTGGTCAACAGTATCTAAAGCAGCAGTAATGTCCAGGAGCACAAGTACCACAAATTGACCAGAATCGTTTGATATCATAATATCGTTACAAACCCTTACAAATACTGTTTCAGTGCTGTGGAGTTGCTTAAAACCAGATTGAAAAATCTCGAAGATTCTGTTCTCATTCAAAAACTTGTTTAATTGAATGAAAACTATTTTCTCCAGGATTTTGGACAGGAAGGGAAGTTTTGAGATTGGTCTGAAATATGAGCAAGTCGAAGGGTCAAGTCCAGATTTCTTAATTAACAGATGAACTACTGCATGTTTGAAAACATCGGGAACCACACTTGTCACAATACTACTATTTACAATAGTAAGAACAGAGGGTCCAATCGTGGGTAGAACTTGTTTGAAAAACGACGCAGGAATGGGGTCAGCAGGGGAACCGGAGGGTTTCATCTGACCAACGACTTTGTTTAGAAATGGGAGTGAAATGGGTTCGAACTGTTTGAAGACAGCTGAGCAAGGAACAAAGACAGAGGGATCAGTTGTGGACTGGGGGATGGATGACCTAATCAACTCTGCCTTATCAGCAAAGTATCTGGTAAAGTTGTTGCAGATGTCAACGGAGGCCTCCATGCGGGCAGACCGAGGCACGTTTAAAATGGAATTTACGGTATTAAAAAAAATGCGGGGATTATGACTGTTTGAAGCAATGATTTGGGAGAAGTATTTGTTATTTTCAGATTTAACAATGCTCTGATAATCTTTCAAACACATTTTTAACATAATAAAATAAACCTGTAATTTGTCTTTTTTCCACTTGCATTCAGCTCTCCTGCATAGACGTTTGGCTGCACGAGTGGTCGCGTTCAATCAGAGGTGTGGTGCCCGCTTTGGTCGCCTGATTTTTAGCGGGGCCACGAGGTCTAAAATCTTAGAGCATGTCGCATCATGCCTACTGAGCAGCTCCTGCGTACTGATACAGGCAGAGGTTTCATGGACTGAAGCAGCATCAGTAATGAATGTAGAGGAAAAAAGTGCAGTGGTTGAAGAGTTAAATATCTGACAACTCTTGGCTGGAGCAGGGGATTTAGACTCATGAATAACAGAGGTTTCGAATGAAATGGGTTTGTGATCTGAAACGATTGCATCCCCAATTTCTAGATTAACCACAGATAAACCGTGAGACAGAACTAAATCAAGTGTATGGCCCTGTTGATGAGTTGGACCAACAACATTTTGCACAAGGTTGAAAGATTGGATTAGATTTAGAAACTCCTGCACCAAAGGCTTGTCAGGACAGCAAACGTGTACATTAAAGTCTCCCAGAATCAAGACCCTGTTGTAATTGAGCAGTATTCCAGTCAGAAAGTCAGAAATTTCACTTATGAAGTTTTTGTTGTACGAGGGTGACCTGCAGATCAGGCTGCACAGTGTTGGGTTGGAGTGGCCCAGCTGAACGTACAGCAGTTCAAAACTCTGAAAAGCTACAGCCTGTAGCTGTCTGCAGTTCCAGAGCTTTTTAAAAAACTGTTAATAATTCACCACCCCTACCAGAAGTCCTTGGAGCATTAAAAAAGGCACAATCCACTGGCAAAAGTTCAGAAAAAACACTGAACTCACCAGGGACAAGCCAGGTTTCTGTAACAAACATGAAGTCCAGTCCATTGGAGCAGAAAAAGTCATTTAAGATGAAGGTTTTATTTGCGAGTGTCCTCACATTCAGCAGAGCAATCTTTGTAGGACCAGTAGCTGAAGGAAAAGCTGAGCACGGAGCACAGATCAGCTGTTTCAGATGAACTTTCAGATGACCCGACTGAGAATTATTGGATTCTCGAGGGATGTCGGGGAATGGCCAAGGATAACGACTATGAGAATCTAAGAGTCCTGAAATGATGACGCAATGTTTATTCAGCTGGTTTCATCTGGTTATCAGTTGGAAATTCCTCAGGGAGGGGGTGGTGAGTGTTAGATCACATGTTCTCCAGGCGAATTCAGATAAGATGGCCTTCAAGGCCAGCCAGGGGAGCCAAATTCACATAAAAACACAGGTGTTTTGGGGACAGGCAGGACTTAATGACATCTACCTTGAGTCTGTGTTGGTCCAAACGGTTCCGAAATGTCCAAATTACATGGCCACACCGATG